TAAACCAGAAAGAACAATCAGCAACTCTTAAGTCAACAAAATCATCCTCATAATAACTCTATATGAGTTCCTGAGGATTAATCAACAATAAACAAAAAACCTCTAGCTGCCCTACTGTTTCCATCGTCAAATTTGAACTAGCCCCATTTCCTGACAAGACAAATAACGTTCTCAGAACGTTAGATAACATTCTTTTAAGGACTCATTTACGTTAATTAACGTCACAGTTTAACGTTCCAGGAACGTAAAAACGTACCCACTTTTACGTTATGTAACGTAAAAATGGGTACGTAATGTAATGTTAAGTTTAACGTTATCTGACAGAAAAAATGTAATTTTTACTCCATGAAGATCTCTTCTCACATGCTCTGAAATATAAATATACATAAATCAATAATTTTTTTCAATGTGAACGACAATATCTTCCCTATTATTGATCAAATAAATATTTTAAGGATACTGGAAATATCGGGATATCAGAATATTGAAAATGCCACTCTTTAAATAAAGTTACTTGAAATTACAGCGACAGTTCCTTTATGTATCAAGCCTGGATTAGAAGCAGTGATCTAACCTGAGACAGTCTTGATGACTAAAGAGAAGCGAAGTTTAAGATTCCATCAACATTTCATCCTGAACATTTAATTATTAAAATAAATATGCCGGAGAAAGGAGAAACAATATAGAAAAAAATAACTGACTATATCTTGTTAAATTTTTTAGTTATTAAGTTTTAAAAAATTAGTGACAAAAGCATTATCCTCCTGGCTATTTTTAATTTAACTAGGCTTTTAGGGCGCTTAGCGCCCATCTTTTATTTAAACTTTTAATTGTGGCTTTATCTCTGAACATCTTTTCTTTGTACAGTATAAAACAAAAACAAAAAAGTTGGTGGATTTCATAATATTTTTTTTTGCGCATTTTTAAAATTTTTCAAAAATAAAAAACTTTTAAACACAAATTTTTAAAGTTTTGACGTTTATTGGATACAAACCAACAGACAAACAAACAAACAAACAGACAAGCCAATGCCGGGGCGNTAAAACTTCCTCCAGAGTAAAGACGTAAGGATTGGAAGAATATACCTGGAGCAGTGTTGAACCTACCTCCAGAGTAAAGACATGTATGGAAGAATATACCCGGAGTATGGTGTTGAACCTACCTCCAGAGTAAAGACGTGTATGTAAGAATATACCCGGAGCATGGTGTTGAACTTACCTCCAGAGTAAAGACGTTTATGGAAGAATATACCCGGAGCAGTGTTGAACCTACCTCCAGAGTAAAGAGGTGTATGGAAGAATATACCTGGAGCATGGTGTTGAACCTACCTCCAGAGTAAAGACGTGTATGGAAGAATATACCCGGAGCATGGTGTTGAATCTACCTCCAGAGTAAAGACGTGTATGGAAGAATATACCCAGAGCAGTGTTGAACCTACCTTCAGAGTAAAGACGTGTATGGAAGAATATACCCAGAGCAGTGTTGAACCTACCTTCAGAGTAAAGACGTGTATGGAAGAAAAGAAAATGTCTGGGGCACCCAGCAATCAATCAATCTCAAAAAGCCCGTCAAAAAGCATAATCTTTGTAATCTGAAAAAAAATAGTTTACCGTACATGACTAGTACATTTTATCAAACTTGTTCCCAGACTATTTGTCTTAGTCAATAGCTACTTGATCCCTCTCCTGATCAGGGACTTCCACCTCTTCTCCACTGCCACCTCCACCTCCAGGAACTTGCACCTCTTCAGATTGATTGAACTTGTTTATTCCCTAAATTAATAAATTTTTTGTATAACATGCATTACATACATAATGTTGTGCATAATTTACAAAATACGTTTCAAAAAAATATTTGGAACTGAAATGATACATTAATAAAAGTCACAAGTGATTAGGATCCTTACTAATTCAAGACCCACGGATCCCAATCTAAGGTGTAAAATATATCAACTAAATACTGTAAAAATAAACTTTTTGCTCTCAAACACATTCTCCACTTTTGAAATAAGTAACATTATTAAAAATTTCCTTTTTTAAGTTTCAGCATTAAAATAAGCGGAACACAAAAAAGAAAAATAGGCAAATTTTTCTTCTGTTAAAACAATCAGATCCCTTTGTTCCAGGGCGGATCCAGGATCCCGATCTGTATAAAAAATGAAATGGATCTGAAGCACTGCTGATCAGCTATGAAAAAAATGACCTTTGCGGTTTTATAGACTTGTGGAATTCTTGCTCCTGCAGAAACAATGGAGTAAATATAAGTAAGTAAGTAAGTAAGTAAGTACCTTTGTGAATTTGGCAACCCCCTTTTTATAAGTAGAGTACTTAAGATAACTGACAGTCCCTTCAATATAGTCATATACCTTTGGCTTCCATGACTTGAGCGTATTCATGATGATGGTCTCGGCTGCCGATACTTCAAGTCCATAAAAACGCTTCAGATAATCTAATTAAAGAAATATTTTTTTTAATTTTGCACTGTTAGTGTTCAACTCAACATTGTAATTAAAATATATGCACTGTGTTAATATTTAAAGGTTTGGTTCACTGAATAAGTGGATATAAATGAATTTTAGGGTAAAAAGGATTAAAAGTAATGTATTCAGCTTTCGAATTTCTCTATTTTTACCCCAAATGTGTGTTTATGTCTTTGGCTCTTAGCCTATACATTTGCTCAAAAAACTTGGTTCTTAACCGTANTTGAAGGGCAAAAAACAAAAGTTTTAGCTGCCATATATTATATATATATAAATAATATATTAAATACTAGGAATTTTGCGCTCCTTCTAAAATTCAACTAATTTTATAAGTGTTAAAAGATTTTACTATTAAAAATTAAGGATTTTCTTAAATGAAAATTAGAATTGGGTCTTGTCTTGCAAAAAAAACGTTAAGAGACTTGAGACATAAATTAGCCTGATTAAGCTATATTTTTTTTTTTGGACTCAAATGGCAATTGAAAACTTCAGGAACTTTATGACATTACTACACATGTAGTCCAATTTGCTGAAAGTGTTTTCCCCTAACAGGTATCTAAAATATATCCGTCACTGCTAACATTTCCAATTGAGCTTAAAAAATTATAGGGTCACTAAAAAGTGTATGTTTCAATTTTTTAATTGATGAATTTCTCTCTGGACGGATCAAAAAGAATTAGTAGAATTCTAAAATATTAATATTAATATTACCATCATCACCCTCTTCTTCTTTACTTCCTTTGTCAGGTCTGCTTTCTGAAGAAGTGGAAATGATATAGCCTTCAAAAGTCATAGACAACAGGTTTAGTTTGGCCCTCTGATGTTTCTGCTCATCCTGGATACTTTGTTGGTTCGCCAAAACTTTTAACAGAAGATGTTTAACCTGGATTCAGGGGTTTAAATGTTTTTTTAACGAGGTGGGTGGGATGGAAATATCCTGCAATGGATAAATTAAACATTCACATGGGATTAAATTTTTTACATTAAAACATTTACACCCTAGCCTCTTCTAGATCCACATGTTCCTCCTCTTCCTCCTTTTTGGATTCTTTCTTCTTCTTGGCTTCCTTCTTCTTATCGGCTACCTTCTTCTCAGCTTCCTTCTTCTCAGCTTCCTTCTTCTTTTTGGCTTCCTTCTTCTTATCCACTTCCCTCTTCTTCTTGTCTTCCTTATTCTTGTGGGTCTTATTGTTATTGTTCGTCTTACCAAAGTCCTGAGAGGATAAAGAATCATCTTCACTTTGTGATCCCTCAGCTGCATCTGTATCTG